TACTGTGAGTTAGATCTCTATGACTTACTTACTACTCATTGTAAGTTTGTACCCTTAAACAACATCAGTCTTGTCCTCTCACCCCCATCTCCTGGTGTTACAGGATTTTTTTCTCCATTAGTGCCCACGGTTCTCGGTCATGTGCCTTCAAAGAATAAAGAGGTAGGCCAGACAGACTGGTGGGAAGGAGAGCAAAGTTTTTTGAGCTAAGTGATAATACAAAGCTCCCAAGGAGGGAGGGGACCCTAGAAGGTTGCCCCCAGTGGTTCTACTTTTAAAATACATCCAGGATCCAACCAGTTCATAGCCCATATACTGCTATCACCCTGATACGAAGCGCTATCAGCTCTCACTTAGATTACTACAAGTCTCCTAACAAGTCCCTCTGCTTCCATCCTTATAGCTCTATAGCCTATTCTCAGCAAAAAAGAAAAAGAAAAAAACATTTTCTGGGACATTAACAAAGTTCTTTAATACTCTTTAAGGGTCTACTATGTACCAGCCAGAATAATCCTTTTACAATATGTCAGATCATGTCACATCGCTTCCCTAAATCCTGTAATACTTTCTTTCACTTCCTTTCACTTAGGGTTAAAAATCAAAGTCCCTAAATCCTGCAATACTTCCTTTCACTTCCTTTCACTTAGGATTAAAAATCAAAGTCCTTACAGTGACTTCAAAAACCCTTTACCTCTCTGATCTTACCTAACTATTCTCTCGCTTCAATCATTCCAGTCATATTGGCTTCCTCATCGCTCCACAAACATCACTCCACAAAGAGGGTACCCTCTTAACCTTTGCACTGACCATTCCTCTGCCTGGAAGTTCTTCCTTGAAAACTTCATTGTCTCCCTCAGCTCCAATTCTTTCTAAACTTCTAACCTCCTTGGTGAGGCCTACTGGCTGACCCTATACAATTCTGAATATGATTTCTTCCCTGCTCTCCATGCAGCACTGATATTTTTTCTTTTATCCTTTGCAGTTATCAACTTCTTCCTCTATGATACACTTACTATTCCCACTTCCTCTATGATATGCTTACTATTTATTTCCCTGTACTCCTTTTTTTAAAGATTTATTTATTCTAGAGAGAGAGAAAGAGTGCTCGTCCACGAGTGTAGGGAAGAGGCAGAGGGAGAGACAATTTTCAAGCAGACTCCCCACTGAGTGTGGAGCCCATGAGATCCTGAGATCATGGCCTGAGCTGAAATCCTGAATTGGACACTTAAAATTGAGCTACCCAGGTGCCCCTCCCTGTACTCTTTTCAAAAACAGAAACTCCATGAGGCCGGGGATCATTGTTTTGTTTGCTGTAGTATCCCAAGTTACCTAGAACAATGCCTGCCACATAACAGATGTACAACAAATATTTACTCCTTGAATTTCATTCTAATAATGACCATATCAGGAGGGTGTTATATATTCTCATCCTATTTTGTAGATGGAGGAGTTGGCGCAGAGAAAGTAGGGAAGACTAGGGGCAGAGTGGGTAGAGAATAAGTTTTTCATCCAATATCATCATGCCACTGTCAAATGCACAGTTAAAACTTGATGATATGTGAATTTTCCAAATATTAGAGCAGTAATAACAAACCATTTAAAAAAAATCCCCCCCACAAAAATCCTCACAGTACACAGTTAAGCAAAATTTCTTTTAATATTAAATACTATACTTATTGTTCACTATATGCTTATAAGGAAGTCTTTTAATTTAAAAATATTCAGTTGATTTTTCCTCAGTGTTGGGCAAGCTGACCTGAATTAGCCCTTGACAGACCAAAGGAATCAAACTTTACGGGAGACTTTAATATAAATGTAATTCTATTCTGTCTATATCATATTCTCTAAACTTCTAAGACCTTTTATTAGGTAGACAACACACTGCTTAATTTCTTAATTTCTTTTTTCCTGATTGTGGTTCAATTCTCTGTTTATTAATAAATTATGGAAAGGTTTAAGACAGAGAATTGTATTTTCAGCTGAGAGGTGATAAACCTTTAAGAAACAAACTTGCACATGGAAGGGTTCAGTGATGGTTAATTTTGTTTTGTTTTGTTTTTAAATATTTATTTATTTAGGAGTACCCAGGAAGCTCAGTGGGTTAAGCCTCTGCCTTTGGCTCTGGTCATGATCTCAGGGTCCTGGGATCGAGCCCTGTGTCGGGCTCTCTGCTTGGCGTGCAGCTTGCTTCCCCTCTCTCTCTCTGCCTGCTGCTCTGCCTACCTGTGATCCCCCTCTGTCAAATAAATAAATACAATCTTTAAAAAAAAAAAAAGATTTATTTATTTGAGAGAGACAGAGCACACATGCAGGTGAGCTGGGGGAGGGGTAGGTAGAGAGGGAGAGGGAGAGAAGCAGAATCTCTGCGGAGCATGGAGCCCAAGGCGGAGATCAATGTCATGACCCTGAGATCATGACCTGAGGCAAAATCAAGAGTCAGGTCCTTACCCAAAACTGAGAAACCCAGGTGCCCCTGTGCTGGTTAACTTCATATGTCAACTGGCTATATTGGTCAAATACTATTTTACTTTATTTTTATTTTGGTTGAGAACTATTTAGATCTTTCTGCAAAGGTATTTTTTAGATGAGATTAACACCTTTTAAAGAATATTTTATTTATTTGAGAGAGAGAGAGAGAGCACACAAGCAGTGGGGAGGGGGTAGAGGGAGAGGGAAAAGCAGACACCCTACTGGGCAGGCAGCCCATTGTGGGACTCAATCCCAGGACCCTGGGATCATGACCTGAGCAGAAGGCAGATGCTTAACCAACTGAGCCACCCAGTTAATTCAGAGATTAACACTAAATTAAGAGAAGTCAGGGGGGGAGGCAAACCTTAAGAGACAGAAAATTATTAATGACAGAAAATAAAGTGGAGGGGTGATGGGTGGGGAATGGGCATTAAGGAGAGCATATGTGATGAGCACAGGGTATAAGCCTTACACGTAAGGTAATGAATCACTAAATTCTACTCCTGAAACCAATATTGCACTGTTATGTTAACTAGAAATAAAAACTTGAAACAAACAAAAAAACAAATAACATTTAAATCAATAGACTTTGAGAAAAGTCAATTACCCTCCATAATGTGAGGGTCACATCTAATCAGCTGAAAGCTATACTAGACCAAAGACTGACCTCCTCCGAGCAAGAAGAATTCTGTCAGCAGACTGTCTTTGTACTTCAACTACAACTCTCCCCTGAATCGCCAGCCTGCCAGCCTATCCCATCAGATTTTGGACTCATCAAGCCTCCACAATCCTGTGAGCCAATTCCTTAAAACAGATCTCCCTCTCTCTCCAGATATCCTATTGGTTCTGTTTCTCTGAAGAATCCTAGTACAGGTTTACAAACAAAGCTGCTTCTTTGTTCAAGAGTTATTAGTTAAAAAAAGAAAAAGTTATTAGTTCACTAAAAACACTCAGGAACCCAATGAGTCAAACCAGTGTTACCTATCTATGTCTTCTTATCAATAAAATACTAAAAATGTTATGAGCAAGGCTGAAACAAACAAAAATCTGGGATACAATGCCATTACTGACCCTTCAGAGTTGAGAGATTTGCTCTACTGCACAGTAAAACTATATCACATACTAATGATAATTCTAGAATTACAAAAGTTTTTTTTCTCTTTGGCCCCAGGAATCCTTTGTTCAAGAGAAACCAGTCTTAGAATTCCCAATTATTAAAGTCATTTAAAAAGAGGTAGTTTGATATAAACAAGGTTAGGAAACTTTTCCAGTCCTCCTCCTAAAAAATAAGAAATCCTTGAGGGAAGCTAAGGTACCATGAGATGCTGCAGAACCAAGTCTGAAAACTCATTTAATTGCCTTGTCCTCAATAAACCCAATGAACGCGTCACCACGACTACTACCATCCTGGGCACTTTGCAGAAATAGAGATTAAATGATTTGGCCAAGGCTATAAAATTAGCAACTAGTCACACTGAGGCCTTCTAAGTTTGTCCCTTACTTTTTTTTGCAAATTTTATAAAAATTAAAAGTTATCTTTCTAAAATATGCAAAACAATTTACCTGCACAATGTGGCAGGTTAGCAGAAGAAATAAAAACCCACAACAGAACTTTGTAGAAGGGTTCATATCGGCACATCTGCCTCTTTGGCATCACTCCTGCTGATTTCATCACTCCTACGAGGAGAGGAAGGAAGATGAGCCTTCATTTGCTTTTAATATTGGCTCTACATTAATGACCTAAGTAGATTTTGTCCAACACTAACAGAGTAGCAAATTAGGGCATCGAAATGTAAATTAAATTATCATTATTTATTTCTGGAAATTAGATCTTTGGTAAAAGCTGCCCTTGAAATATGACATAACAGTATTTACATGCAACTTTGCTACAAATGACATTTTTACTTTGAAACAGAAACATGAGCAATTCAATAAAATGAATAGACAAGCAGAATTAGTTCCTCTATTTGACAGAGCAGGAAACATTAAATGACTTATTCAATGTCACACAGAAAAATGAGTGTCAAGACATCATCTGAGGTTCTAAGCCTAATTTTTGGGAGTTTGAACTCTAGAAGGGCAGACGCTCCCTCTTTTGAGTTCACTGCTGCCAGCACATGGCACGGCACCACGCACATCACTGAGGCTGATGCTTACTTACATCAGTACTCATGCTCCAAACCAACATTAGGAAAACTAATGTACTTAATGAAGAGGCAAAATGGTAAATGGATAGTAGCTCCCCGTTCATATCACAAACAAGGTTAATCTGTAATGAAGAACCAAGAATGAAGGAATTACAACAAAATGCTCAACCATGGGTTAGAGGTCAATATCACAGACCTACCCTGTCAATCTTTAAGATGACTATTTCCAATTTAACCTTCACACTGCCTGAACAATAGTGTAGTTGGCATCCCCCAGTCCCATTTTGTTATCACTGACTTTTATATTCCTGCTCACAAATCCTGAGGAACTCCCTAGAATAAAACATGGAGCTTCTTCCCACCAGTGATCAAAATCATACAAACCTCTGTCAGTTGTTTCAAGTGGCCTTTGTTTTCACTTAATTCTTCTGATAGTTCATGCTTTTTCACTTGCAGTTCGGAGATTTCCTTTCTTAATGGATTCACTAGTTCATAGAACCGAATCTTTAAAAACAAAAATCAAATTAATAAGCAGTTTTAGAATCCCAAGTTGCAATTAAAGTTTACTAATTTATAGTACCCTCAATTATAAGTAATAAAAATATTAAGGAAACAAAAGGAATGCATTAAGTTTTACATTATATGTCTGTATAAGCAAGTTTGGTTTGTAATGAACTGACCCTGACTACTAATACTTTATTAAGGCTTAATGTTCAATTAAGTTTCCTCAAAGCCCAAATTATCTATACTTCACCCCTGACACAGTGTCTTTCTTCCCATCTATACTCCATTTACTACTTACTTCCCATCTTCCACCACTGCCCATTCCATTCTAGCTTCTTGTTACTTCCTGAACACATTAAGTGCTTGAGTTTTGCTTGTATTTCCTCTGACAGAAGAATTCTTCCCACATACAAATGAATGGCTCATGTTTTCACTCCCTTTAGGTCTCTGATCAAATGTCACCCTATCAGTAAAGGCCTAATTCCTCTGATTAGAAATAGCACCCCCCCCGAAGGCAGTTCCTAGTTTCACTCCCATAGGATTTTCTCCATAGGATTTATGACATTCTGCATTTACTTTTAATTTATTGTCTATCTTGCTCCACTTGAATGTAAGCTCACGAAGGCCAGAATTCTTGCCTTGTTTGTACCCTGCTCTATCTCTTTTGCTGAAACATATGATAAGCCTACATCCTAGGCTCCTGGTGAAGCCCTGCGGCTACCATTGCTGTGTCAGGGATAATCAGGAGGGGTCTTTCATATCACTACTTCCATTCAGTTCAGACTTCTCTTCTCACTCATAATTCTCTCAGAGGAATCCATCTGCCCTAATCTAGTAAAGTGTTCCATCTGACAAATTCCTATAAAATTAAGAAGCCATGAACAAATTAGGAGAGGGTAATTATGCCTATTTATTATATAGGTATGCAGTCTGCAATTCCTTAATACATTGCTGAACAGCAAGAGTACCACATCTGGTAAGAGGTAGTCCTTAATACAATGAATTTGTGTATGACTAACTAGTTAGGATAATAACGTCTATAAAAACAAAAGATAACAAAGAACATTAACAAACCAAAGAACTGTATAACTGTAATTGGTAGGCCACTTGGTACCTACTATGGATAAAGTCACAACGACAGCATGTGAGACATCTGATTTGTCTTGAACAATGCACTTTGGACAGAAAAAAATATATTTGAGCTATTTGAGGTACTATTATTATTATCAATCCTTTTACATATGAAAAAGTTCAAGCCTCTAAGGGTGAAATGACATCTATATATCACAAATCAGCAGTTTTCATGTGAGACCCTCTGAGGGAATTCATAAGATTAAAACTGTTTTCCTAATAATACTAAGATTTTTGTTTTTTTTTTGCCTGTCTTGCTCTCCTTCTCTTATGCCTGTTCAGTGGCGTTTGCCAGTGGCTATCTGATGTGTGCTGAGATCATCACCTTTAAGGCTAATGGAATGAGTGCTTATGTATTCTTGTGTTTTAAAAATGTCTCAGTGCTAATTTCTTTTTTTTTTTTTTAAGATTTTTAATTTATTTATTTGACAGAGATCCCAAGTAGACAGAGAGGCAGGCAGAGAGAGAGAGGGAGAAGCAGGCTCCCTGCTGAGCAGAGAGCCCAATGTGGGGCTTGATCCCAGGACCCTGGGATCATGACCTGAGCTGAAGGCAGAGGCTTTAACCCACTGAGCCACCCAGGCGCCCCTCAGTGTTAATTTCTAATACGATAAATACTAATAGATATAGCCCATATATTCTTTTCTTCTGTTTAGAAGCTCCTTGGGGTCCTCAGTAATTTTGTGAATGTAAAGGGATGCTGACATGAAAAAATTTGAGACAGGCCATAGATGAATCCTATGTGTAGCTGTATAACCAACACATGACAGATCCTGAAGTAGACCACAAAGATCTCCTTCATTAACTCCTTTTCCATCACACCAACTCCTCTCTCCTCTACTATCCCCACCCCCTGGCAACCACTAATCTGTTATCTCTATAATATAATTTTGAAAACAATGTAAACTACCAGTTTATGATAAAATGATTCATTTCTAGGGACTATGTAGCCATTAACTTCATAGCCCTATTTATTACTTGACTTTGGAGATCAAAGGTCGAGACCCTTTAAAATTTGGTGATCTGAATACCATTCACCATTTCCAGATCAGGGCCAGAAAATAACAAAATAATTTATTAACTGGGTACTTTGAAGATTATGGCTATTACATAATTAACAAATCTAATTTGAAAATACATGCAGTTTTTTTTTAAATGATGCAACACACTTACAGATACATATTCAGGAATAGAAAGCTGGTCTTCAGGAAAATCTTTTAGTTTCACATATTGCTCTTCTGTCAATTCAAGGTCACGCAAGTTTCGGCGAATATCTCCCGCCTTCTCTCTTAGCTGAGTATTTGTCTCTTCTAGTTGCTTCTGTCTCAATAAAATAGTTTCCATTTCTTGTTTCATTAGTTCTTGATATTTTCTACATTAGGAAAGAATTTATGGCAAGCTTAAAAACATCTTTAAGATTTAATTTTCTCAAAGTTACCTTTTATATTAACATAAAAACATGAAATAAGCAACTCTCTAGTGTTTTTGGCTCCAGGTAAATGCTTATTTATTTAAGCAGTTAAACACAAAATGATTCTATACTCATTACTAAATGTGCAACCACATAAATTGTTAAATAGAAAACTGATATTCTTAAAGAGTAATTTTCAAAATTCAAATTATAAAATCATACATTTCCCCTCTTAAGATTTAAATTTTATACATCTATTTTGAACCCTACTCATCAAAATAACTTTCATTTCTTTCTATCCAGATACTTTAAGGTATACTGCTTGAAGACGGCAACACTGAACCACTGTAAAGTATTCATTCAACCAATGAGGTGATAAAAGGAGTAATCTGTACATAATCATTCTTAATGAATACATGTAGCAGACATTGCTATCATGAGTTGCCTATTTGAAGATTTTGAGCAGGAAGGGACAACTGATTCTCTCCCCTTCCTACTGTATCACATCCATCAACATACGAACATGTTGTTACTTTTCCTACCTTAAAAAAAAAGAACATTGACCCCATTTCACTGCCCCCTCTGCTTGCTCCTCCACGCAGCAAAACTTCTCAAAAGTTGTCTAGACTCACTATCTGATGCCCTTCCTCTTAAACCCATGCCAATTAGGTTTTTATCTTTCTACTGAAATCTCAAGGAGGCCAATGACATCCAGATTGCTAATGATCAATTCTCAGTTCTTTTCATCCTTGACCTTATGATTACTTAACACAACTGATCTCTCCCTTTACACACTTTCTTCACCTGACTTCCAAGTCACTATACTCTTGTCATTTTTCTCCCATTTTTCCAGTGGTGTTTTCTCAGTCTCCTTTTCTGATTTGTCTTAATATTAGTACTTGGCCCTCTTTTCTCTCTGTATTTACTACCTTGGCCAAGTCATCCAGTCATATGACTTAAATATATACTCTCTGTATCCTAATGCCTCCCAGACTTGTATCTCTAGACGAAACTCTTTCAACACCTACACGCAGATTTCTAACATGACAACTTGAACTGAACGTGTCCGAAACTGAACTCTCACTCTTCACTCACAAACCTCTTCCCCTGTGGTTTCCCTATCTTATTTGACAGCAATTCCATCCTTTCATTTATTTGAACCAAAAATGTTGCCACAATCCTTGATTCCTTTCTCTCTCTCTCTCTTTTTTTAAAAGATTTTATTTATTTATTTGACAAAGAGAAACATCACAAATAGGCAGAGAGGCAGGCAGAGAGAGAGGGGGAAGCAGGCTCCCTGCTGAGCAGAGAGCCTGATGCGGCTTGATCCCAGGACCCTGAGATCATGACCTGAGCTGAAGGCAGAGGCTTTAACCCACTGAGCCACCCAGGCGCCCCTCCTTTTTTTCTCTTGAACCCCACGTATAACACATCAGCGCAACCTTCAAATTATATTAAAAATCCAACAACCACTTTTTACTAACATCAATATCAAGGGTATTATTGCAATATCATTTCAACTGCCTTCTCAGCATCATTTAATCTGAAAACTGCCTTAAGAATTACAATAGAAGCCCTACCACTGAATGCACTGGTTCCCAAAGTATTGTCCCCAGACCAGTGGCATCAGCATCACCTGAGAACTGGTAGAAATACAGATTCTTAGGAATCACCCCAAATCAGAATATCAGAGGGTGGGACCCAACAATCCTTTTTAACAAGACCTCCACGTGGTTCTGGTATATACTAAAGTTTCAGAACCGCCGGTCTTACAAAGAGAAAAGATAAGCACTTCACATATTTACTTCTAATTAGCACACAGAAAGAAGCAGTCACTTGTCAGATTTTCTACACAGGGTTCAGATTTTTAAAATACAAAGTTATGCTTTGTTTTTGTGTAAATCATTGTTCATGGCTGCCAAGTTCAATTTCTTTACTGTAAAAGACACTTGGGAAGAAATCTGAGAGGATGCTTTTCTATGGATTTGTTTGTTTTTTTGTTCCCAACTTTCAAATCTGTCTTGCTTTAACTTAATTTGATGGTTTTTTTTTTTTTTTAGTCACTCACTTTTATTACATTGTTTCAAAGAATTCCTTATAGTTTTCATAGAAGGAGCTCATCTTTTTTTCCACTCATATTTCATTGTTTACATAGTTCAGTAAGGATGACTATCATAGGCACATTTGATAGTAAATAAAATGGAGTCTCTGTAAATAATCAACTGAGCTGGGAGAAAGAATGCAAGCAAAACAGAAAATAATTTAAACATGCAGAGTTAAATGGGCCATGAGAATTAGTGTGCTTTACAAAGGAAATGAAGAAAGGTTAATCCAGACAACAGATTAAGTGGTAGTGAGTTTAGAGAATTTCCATTGTCATTTATGGATCACTTACATCAGCAATGTTCGCTGAATGAATGTTGAATTTTGACTTTATATATATATATATATATATATATATATATATATATTTATTTATTTATATATTTATTTATTTTAAAGATTTTATTTATTTATTTGAGAGAGAGCGATCACAAGTAGGCAGAGAGGCAGGCAGAGAGAGTGGAAAGCAGGCTCCCTGCTGAGCAAGAGAGCCCAACATGGGGCTTGATCCAAGGACCCTGGGATCATGACCTGAGCCGAAGGCAGAGGCTTTAACCCACTGAGCCACCCAGGTGCCCTGACTTTTTATATTTTGTATATTGTATCAAGTAACCTTTTTTGTTGGTTTGGATATAAAAATTTTACCATCGCTTACTTAAAATTGCTCTATTTTAGCTTACAATTGCATGCATAAATAGGTAACGAAATTACTTTTAATGGCTAAATAGGTATTGCTGTTTTTAAAAAACTTTCTTACCTGGCATCCTTTTGTTGAAAAGTCAATTGATTGTCTAATCTCAATGTTAGTAGCTGCTTCTGGTGAAGTGCATCATTAAGTTTCTCTTCTAATTCTTCAATCTTAATAAAGAGAAAGAGGTAAATTATATGGTCAACTTTCAAATTTATCACTATAAGATGTCTGAAAAATACTAAACGTTAAATAAAAAAAAGAACGCTTAAAAGCAACAGGCTAAAAATGGATATAGGTTCCTCTGCAATGGTTGTATTAACAAATTACAGTCTGTTCATACAAATGGTTCAAACTGCAGCCACATACAAGGGTTTTTTGACAGACTGTCATTAAGACTGCCTTTTCCCCTTAACCCACTCACTGAGAAGCCCACTAACAACTGGGATTTTATTTTGGTGCCTTGCCCAGGTAATTACTTCCTTGTTAGACCCTGCATTTGTCCTCTTGATCCATACATCTCCAAATGACTACTCCGTGAGTGATCTCACAAATGTCCAAGAAACACTAGCCCTCAGCCTCACCTAATCGTATGTTCCTTGCACCTCCCTAGTCTCTGACGCAAAAAATACCTAAGTCATGGTTGATGTCTACTTCTGCTCAGAGCTTATTCTGATCAGACACCATTTTGTTGTGGTTGTTGTTGTCAAGTCCACTTCATAAATAGCTGTCAAAATGGCTCCATCCTCTTTGCGATCCACTGATAAGTCTTCAGTTAGACCCCTACCATCTCTCACCAGAGTTGTTTCCTTGTGCGCAGTTTTGTCAACCTCCAAATTTTGTCAAATTTATCTTCCTTAATTTCTTTTAAAAAATGTTATCAAAAATTTATTTCCCCAGTTGTAAATCCTTCAGAGGATCTTCACTGTTTTCAAAATAAATTTGAAACTTCATGGCATAATGTACCAGTACTTCTTGATCTGGCCTTTGCCAGCTCCTTTCTTCTCTGGTCGCTAGCTTAAAAGGATACTCTGTTCCAGGAAAAATAAGTGCTTGCCATTCTTCAAATATGCTGTGGTCTCTCTTAAGCCCCCATGGACTTGGGTTTTGTTCTTAGTCTAATTAAAAAATTCTTTTCTCTTCCTTTCAACCCAGGTAATTCTTACTCATCTTTTAAAAATTGATTAATTTAACAGCCAATCTTTAATATATTCAAGTGGATTCCTCTTGCATCAATAAATTCCCCACCTCTACTGGATCATTCCTATCATTAAGCAAACTACTTCTATCAACCACTGAAAAGAACAACAAATACTCCCTTGATCACACCACTCCCTTTGCTAATGTACCATTTCTCTGCTCACCATCAGAGCAAAACTTCAATATTTTTTCCCGTAATATTCCAGTAAAAGTATTCTGAATCACCTCTTTTAATACTCAGTCCACTCGTAATTTCAGCATATTTATCTAATTGACAGCATGATTTAACACAGTAGATGACTCTATCCTATTTTGGATTCCATGTTATTTTTCTTTTGTTTTCCTCCAAACCTACTGGCCACTTGTAGGCTTCTCAGCTTCTTCCTCTACACTATTTATAAATGTTGGACTCCGCTTCATGTGGTTTGGGGCCCTCTGCTCTCACTAGATAATGTCATCTAATCCGATAGCTTTTAGTGCCATCTATATGCACCACACCACACAGACACACTCAAACACACACACAGAGTCATAGACTCACCCCTAAACTCTGACAATTCCATTTAGGAGTCTAATAGGAATCTAAAATTTGACATGTTCAAAACAGAACTTACATCTTACCTCCCAGATCAGTCTTCTCCCAGCCTTCCATTTCTCAATAAATGGCTCCAGTAGATGAAGCCAAAAACTTAAGTCTTACATAAGGCAATAACCTAATTAACTGTCTTCTACTTCTACCTTATTTGTCCTTGGTCTATTACTTCAGTGCCATTTTGAATACAAATACCAGGACATGTAACTCTAATTGCCTAAAATCTGCCAGTGGCTTCTCTGATTACACAGTCTAAAGCAAGGGATAAAAAACAATGGCAATGGGCCAAATCAAGCCTACATCCTGTTTCTCTACAGGCCATAAGCGAATAGATTTTGTGTTTGTAAAGGGTTAAAATAAACAACAAAGAATATGTGCTAGACCACATATGGCCTGCAAAGCATAAAATCTTTACTGTCTGGGTCTTTACAGAAAAAATTTGCTGACTCCTTATCTAAAGTAGAAAACTCCCGTTGCTAAGTGATGCTGTGTCACATGACCTTGAAGATCTCCCATTTGTTTTGGGATCATAAATCTCACTTGAATTTCATCTACATAAAAAAGGGACCCTGCCATATCCAGTTATATTCCCAGCAACATGCCTCAATAAATGTCTTAAATCAACAAAAGACAATCACATTCCTCATAATTATTATTTTGCATCTCAAGAATGCTGTTACCAAAAGGACAGAAACTTCTACTCTTTCCAGGGTTACAACTTTCACAATTTTAACTGGCTTCTAACTTAGGCTCCTTAACTCAGAGATAATCAAGCTGGGAAGATGCACCCCTCCCTTTACTTCCCAAGTAATAAGGAACCAACAGATCTCAAGTGAAAGATAAAAAGACTTTCTGGCATTTAAAAATTGACAGGCATGAAGACTGAAGAGGAAAGGAATGAAGAAGTAAAGCAAGGAAGGAGATTTAGGCATCCATGGGCAGGGGTAAAAATGGAAAGCTAACAATTCTCTAGAATCAGGAGGCTTGGCCTAAGCTGTTAACCTGTTAAATTCTCTCAGTGAGCAAGAGGGAAGTGAGACTCAACACTTTTGAGTTCCCTTGGAGAAATGTGTTCTTATTTTTGGATATGGAGAAATCAAATCAACATGGATCAAGATATTCATAGTAAAAAACTCTAACATTAGGAATAAACTCTAACAAATGTAAAAATTGTATTGCCACCATACTGTTGTGGAAAAGACCTTAAATTTCACAGGTTCACAGACTTCCTAACTTAAAAAGACTGTGATGAATAGGAAAAAATCTGCTACTTGTCTGCCAACACCCAACTCTTCTCTTCTTTCTAATGTAACTCTGATTTTTATTAGTGACAACAATGTATCCAGTTAAATATATACATTTCTTAGCTTCCCTTCCCACTCCTTGCAGCTAAAGTGCTCATGCTATATAGCTCTAGTTTATTGAGGTCACTGGCTTGAGCTTCTGGGAAAGCTTTTTTTAAAAAGGGAATTGAGTTGTGGGGCTTCTGGGTGGCTCATCTGGTTAAGTGCCTGACTCTTGGTTTTGGCTCAGGTCTGGATCTTGTGATAGTGAGACCTAGCCGCGCGTGGAGCTGTGTGTTTAGCCGGTAGTCTGCTTCAGATTATCTCCATTTTGCGCTCCTTGCCCCTCTGGCCCTCCCCCTGGTAACGCAGGCTTACTCTCTCCTTCAAATAAATAAACAAATAATATCTTAAAATACATAAATAAACAAACAAATAAATAAATAAAATCTTAAAAAAAATAAAGAAGAATGAGTCCTTTGGCATGTGCTCCATTTTCCCATTATTGTTCTTATCTTTGTCCGTAACATGGATATTATACTGGAGGGAGATCAGCCATCTGTGACTTTGAGGTGAAAAGCACATGCTTAAAACAGCTGTGTGCAGAAGGTTAAAAGGAGCCTGGGTTTCCAACAATATCAAGGAGTAACCACCCCAAATCTAAATGACCTACTTTCAGATTCCCATTAAACCAGAGAAACAAAATCCTTATCCTGTGTTACACAAGCAGCGACCACCTTCTAAGCCTCTGGTCCTAGTAGCTGAACTTCATGTCCAGAACACTGCACAGTTGGTTCAACCTCTTTCCACAGCAAAAATACCTAAACCATGACACTTGACCAATCAGGATGACTTTAATGCTTCCAATGATAGGAAGCTCATTAACTTAAATCGGGTCATTTAAATGTTAATTGCAAGGATAGGTTTATAGTCCACAGAAATTTACTTTTCCTGTGACTTTTATTATCTATAGTCTAGTAAGGGAAATTTATTTTTAATAATGTCAAGTGTAGCACATATATACAATGGAATATTACTCGGCCATCAAAAATGAAATCTTGCCATTTGCAATGACATGGATAGAACTACAGGGTATTATACTAAGTGAAACAAGTCAATCAGAGAAGAAAATTATCATACTATTTCACTCATGTGGAATTTAAGAAACAAAACAGAGGATCATAAGGGAAGGGAGAGAAAAATAAAATAAGACAAAAACAGAGAGGGAGGCCAACCATAAGAGACTCATTAACTATAGGAAACAAACTAAGGGTTGCTGAAGGGGAAGTAGGTAGGGGATGGAGTAAGTGGGTGATGGGCATTAAGGAGGGAATTGAAGTAATGAGCACTGGGTGTTCTATGCAACTGATGAATCACTAAATTCTACCTCTGAAACTAATAATATAATATTTGTTAATTAAATTGAATTTAAATGAAAAAATTTTAAAAGAACCATTCATGTTACGGTATATACAACTCTGAAAGTTTGAGAATATGGCACAGTAAGAAAAACCGCTTTCTATTCTTGAGGCAACTTACACAAACATTTCAATTTCACTTGGGTAGAGTATGGGCTTTAGATCTCTCAGTCTGAATCCTACCTGGCTCCATCACTCCCATCTAAATGGCCTTGCTATGCTATTAACCACTTGTGATTCTGTTTTATCAAGAGCAAAACACGGTTCAGTCCTTTATTTAAGGTAGTTGAGCACTTACAATGTGCCAGGAACTGTCCTGAGTGCTGGAGATACAAGAAGTATCTCCAAAGAAACCCTCATGAACCTCACAGTCTGCTGAGAGAGATAAATACCAAAACAAAGTCAGGTAGTCCTATGAACATGTATATAAGGCACAGAGAATAAAGGGAATGAAAAATAAGAATAATATTTTAGTAGACAACAGCAGTGATAATTCATATTGTGCGCTTACTAAATGTCAGGAACTACTACTCTTACTTTTTCTATTGATTCATTCAATGTTAAAGGATAGAGAAAATCCCACTAAAAGCACTTATACCTCACAGAGTTGTTGTGAAGTTTAATGCGAGAACACACGAAAAGCTCATGGAACAGTGTCTAGCTGTAAGCATTCAATAAATGTTAGCCATTAATATTTCTAGTAACTTTATCCAAAGTATTTCTTTACTTCATTAAGACCTTGAACATTTAGGGCTTAGGACACTTCATTTTCCTAGAGAGACATGGTCAATGATTTTTTTTCTAGTGGCAAAATACTAAAGTATATTGCTATGATTGGCAAAAGCTAAAATAGGAAACTGACTTAAGAGAGAAAGTATAACTGAAACAACAAAAGGCAGGGGTTGGAAGAGGTGGGATCAAGAGCAAAAGTGGAGAATCTACTATTGGAAAGAAAAAAATTTCTCAGAGACAGAAGTAATAAGAGTTAAGTGTCTCCTGTTCTCTCTCTTTTTTTCTTTTTTTAAGATTTTATTTGTTTATTTGACAGACAGAGAGAGTTGTGCCCAAGCAGGAGGAGCGGCAGGCAGAGGGAGAAGAAGCAGGTTCCCCACCCAGCCGGGAAGGACGCTGGGACCATGACCTGAGCCTAACGCAGATACTTAACCACTCAACTGACTCAGCCACCCAGGCATCCCTTGTCTCCTGTCTTTCTTTCTTTTTTTTTTTATTTATTTATTTTTTTTTTAAAGATTTTATTTATTTGTCAGAGAGAGAGTACACACAAGCAGGCAGAGAGACAGGCAGAGAGAGAGGAGGAAGCAGGCTCCCTGCCGAGCAAGGAGCCCGATGCGGGACTCGATCCCAGGACCCCAGGATCATGACCCGAGCCGAAGGCAGTGGCTCAACCCACTGAGCCACCCAGGCGTCCCGTCTCCTGTCTTTCTGAAATCACTATAAATTTCTCAGAGTTAGTGACTTTACCAGATCTTATATAAAATACTCTTAAGTATAACCACACAAGGCAAAAACAAAACAAAACAAAACAAAAAAACAAGGACCAAGACATTCCTTCCTATTTGGCAAAGATACCGAAGACACTGAATCTCCAGGGCAGAGGACTACACTGACTCAATAATATAATTATGATCAAACTAGTCACATCAACAGTAATTCCCAATGAAGCAGAAAACATCTTGGCTAGAAAAAAACACCTAAAAAGATATACCTCACACATGCTGTATTTTAAAAATTGAGCCTACAGAAGCAATTCATCCCTGCCCAACTTTAAATCATCCCCTTTCAAGACGTTTTATTTAATACACAGAAGTATAATTCACTCTCCCTCTCCTTCCAAAAAGTTTTAACTATGCAAGAAAATACAATTTTCTTTTTGAAATGATAAATGTATCATTTCGAATTCAGATTACATATATAAAATTTTAATTATTTATCTTCAGTTTGAAGACAATAACACATAAAGGTAACAAAAATTACACTTAATCTTACCTTCGTAAGATAATCCACTTTCAAGTTGTCTATCATCATATTTTTCTGGGATAGCTCTATTTTCAGTAACTGAATATTATGAAGTAATTCCTTACGTTCGATTAGTTGCTGGGTGATTTTGATTTTACCATCTCGCTCTTCTGATGATGAAATATCATCTGTAGGAACTGTTGTTTCTAAACTAATATCTTCAGATTCCAGAGAGCTAGAGATGTTCACTTTCTTTGATGCCCTGGCAATTTTTCGAGACATATTTTTTTTTTTATGGCTCAGTTTTCTTCTCCGATTCAATTTCAATTTTCTGCGGGTTAAAAATATTAAATGTATTCAAACATTCTCTATGGAAAGCTTAAGTATATTAAAGAGATACTAATGAATGCCTAAGTAGTTATCAGACAATCTGGAGGACCCCCTCATCTAGGACAGATTAGTAAATTACTGCTCAAATCAAACATAATAAAACAAGCTCATTAAATCCTTCTATGAATTTGCTCTTGATGAATAAAAAGCCCAGTTCCTGAGGACAGGAATCTTATTTGTAAGAAACAAAGAAATGTTCGAGATTAAGGATAAAAGCCCCAGTCAGTAGTATCCAGGAAAGCTACTAATAAAAGCAGCACGTGTTCAAGGTTAGGGAAATCACTACTGAGTTGATCAGGAGAAAGTTATGTCTACTTAGAATCTTGAAGGATTTAGAGCAGCAACAAGAGAAAAGCATGCAAGAAGTAATGTTGGTACAGAAGTGGCGAAAATGCACAATAGCAGAAGATAATGATAGTCTTGCTAGAGCCAAGCCTTTGTGATATTGAGTAGGACTCGCCCTATTCCCCATACACAAACACCCATATAACTTTAATAATCAAGACCGCGAGAGCTTTGAATGTCAAAATGTGTTCGAAATTTATTCTGCAGGCAATGAGGCGTCACTTAAGATTTTTTAAAAAGGGAAACAGTGAGACAAAAACATTCTAATAGATTTCCAGATAAAAGGAAAACAGGAACGTAGAAAAGATAAACTCAAGTATTCTAAATCGAACTTCTTACCCTTTCACAAGAATTTTAGCAATTCTCGTTTCAACACTACATGACATAATAAATTATATACGGTATTGCAGACATCAGCTTTTCTAAACTAAATGATTAGAAAAGCGTGTGGAGGGCAAACGGCGTCCCTCCCAAAGGGAAAAAGGGTAAAGAAAGGTGAAATCTGAGAGAGGCAACATCTTGGTTATAAAGGATCGGGGGCTGGGGCAGCCCACATGTGTGGAGTGAAGAAGAAAAGGCAAACTTGGCAATGTAGGATGACTCCCTGCCCCGTGTTGAAAGGAAGGGATAGGCGCGAGCTACCTGGAAAGATTCAACTACTCCACGTCTAAGGCTGGACCAGCCACTACCGCCGCCTCTTCAAGGAGCTGAAAGCGTCCCCCAAACAGAAACTCAGGTTGCAGCTCCTCCAGAAGGAATTTCAGATTGGGGACCGTTAGGACCCGTAACCAAGACAACCACTCCCGCGCCCGTAGGAGGACGGAGGAAGAGGCTGCGTGCAAGCGCCCTCGCCGCCGGAACTCAGCCTGGATCCACCCCAACGCGGGAAGCAGTGCATGCTGGAAGTTGTAGTCCAGCGGCCAGCCCCGCCCTTGTCCTGTTGGAAATAGCTCCGGGCTCCGCCCATCCTCCTCGTTTTCGCCCAATTCTCGGAGTCCTCAGAGAGCCAACAAACGTCAGCCTCGACGTTTTCCCGCGAGAGGTATTCATTAATACGCTGGAGCGGGAAGGGCTGAGCTTCGGGTTAAAGAATAGTTGTACCGTAGGGCTTCTACTTGGCACTTTTCGCCGGAAGAGCGCCGTCGGGGTCAGGATTCCGAGCTACAAGAAAGATGCTCAAGTCCAAGACTTTCTTAAAAAAGACGCGGGCGGGCGGCGTGATGAAGATCGTGCGCGAGCATTACCTGCGGGACGACATCGGCTGCGGCGCGCCCGGGTGCGCGGCGTGCGACGGTTCTCATGAGGGGCCAGTCCTCGAGCCACAGCCCCTGGATCCGGCGAGCAGCCTGTGCCCCCGGCCACACTACTTGCTTCCGGACACCAACGTGCTATTGCACCAGGTGCGTCGGCTGACGGGCTGTCTGTGGTCGTCTCGACATTACCAGGAGAAGGGGGGTGTGACAGAATAGGAAAACTGAGGCCCAAAGAGGAGAGTCTTGGACGTTCTTAGGGAGAGGCAAATCCCATCTCGGGACCCTTGCCTCCTGTCTCCCAGGCCAGGTTTATTTTCTTTGGAAAAAAAAAAAAAAAATTTTTTTTTTTTTTTGAGGTCTTGGAGTCATAAGAATTTTAGATTAATTTTCTAACTCCTGGTGTCTCTTCTGCCTTAGATTTTAAGTGTCTGGAGGCCGGGGACCTGGGCTTCTGTGGCCTCCAGCCTGCGACTCCCAGGCAGCTTGTAAGTGCCTACGAATGAAAACTTGTGGGCCAACATACTTCATTTTTAGTGGGCTTAATTCTACGAAGTTATGTAATTAGTCTGTTTATATGTAATGTTCTCTAATAGATCTGAAAGGTTTTCTGTAGCATAATAGCGCCTTAGTTTAATGTATACGTGCTGTTTTGATTTAAAAAAAAAAGGGCAGGGTTTTATGTTTGGCAGAGACAGTTTAAGTTTTCTTTCCTTATTTTATTTTATTATTATTTTTTAAGATCGATGTTCTTGAGGACCCTGCCATCAGGAATGTGATTGTACTACAAACAGTTCTGCAGGAAGTGCGAAATCGGAGTGCTCCAGTATATAAGCGAATCAGAGATGTGACTAATAACCAGGAGAAGCATTTCTATACGTTCACTAATGAGCACCATAGGTAGGGGGAAGATTATGTTAATTACCAGGAAACCATAGAATTAGCTAAATTGGGGGAAGGGTTCCTGGCAGTAATTGTGACATTGTCAGAAGATGTCAAAATGTTTTCATTTTGAATTGGTTTCAGCATGAGTTAAGCAGTAAAATCTTGGTAGGTGAGGTTTCCCAAGGTTCTTGGAATACCGCATTATTTGATAACCGACATAAATTGATAAAATGTAAGAGTATATGAAAGAGAGGTTTAAAACTGTAAAGGAGATTTATAATTAATGGGCTTTCAAAAGTTAAACTAATACTTTTTAACTGATCGCGTTGAAGAAGATAGGGTTAAGAAACACTTCTTTGTTGTGTTTCAGATTGATGCCCTTTGAACATAACGTGTGGTGTTAGAAAATATAGTGCTATTTCTTATGTTACATAAATGATCTGTGTCCAGTTCTATATACTTTTATTAGATTACGGCTTCTCAACTTTGGTACTGTTGACATTTTGGACTGAATAATTGTTTGTTGTGGGCAGGCTGTCTTATATGTCATAGGATGTTTCGCAGCATCTTGTGGTTCTCTACTCACTACATGCCCGTAGCAACCCCATCTTCCCCTTTCCACAGAGTTGTAACAACCCAAAATGTCTCCAGTCATTGTCAAATGTACCTGGGCAGCAAATCACCGTCAGTGGATTAGACAGTAGAATTCTGGTAATGAAATTTCATTGAAATATGCATATTTAAAAATATTTAATTTTTCAATTTTCTCATTATTTCTATAGCCCCAATTTAAATATTATTCTTATAAAAATCATTGGTAAAGCGCTTGTCATCTTTTTCTTAGCTTCATGAAATTCAGAAGCAGAAAGTTGTTTTTCAGTGCAGGAAGACGCAAGTTTTTGTGGAGCCTTACCATCAGATTCTTAATGAGAGGTTAGCGGTTTTTCTGCTTAAGTGCAGTGAATAGAGCTTAGCAATACTGTTATTGAAGGACACTTGGGCAAATCTCATCCCAAATTGTATTACTCAAGTCACGCCACAACTAACTCACAATTTAATGATAGTGTCCGACTGATAAGCTTAAAGCTTTAGCAGGGGCATTTAATGGCGAGCAATGAAGCCGTTCAAAAAACTTCTAATAAGTTTAGGATTCTAAAGTTGAATCTCTTAAGTGTTGAGAGTTTTTGTACTGAATTTTGTTATTTTACTTAAGTTTGGCTTTGGAAAAATAGATTTAAGAAAGTAAGTATGCTGACATATTCAGGACTTTAGTGTGGATAGACTACGAAGGAATATGCAGTCATTGTTTTTGGTCTTTCAGTCTCGAGATAAGTTCTGCCATTTATTGAGTGTTTACCACTCGTGATTTACACGTATTGTGTGTTTAATGACTATAGAATCATATCATTAAGCATCATCCTATTTGTAGCTTTTGGGAATTACCCTTAATCTACAGTTCAAATAAAATTTATCAAATCTGCGAAGCTTTATTATAGTTCAGTGGTTATTAAGCATTTATGTTCTAAGACTTTTCACATATTCTTCTTTCTATTGATTTTTTACTTTCTTTTCAATATTTAGAGAAACTTATGTAGAACAAGAACAGGGAGAAAATGCTAATGACAGGAACGATAGAGCCATTCGAGTAGCAGCAAAATGGTACAATGAACATTTGAAGAAAATATCAGCAGAAAATCATCTACAAGTTATCTTCATAACAAATGACAAGAAAAACAAAGAAAAAGCCATAGAAGAAGGAATACCAGCTTTCACCTGTAAGTCTAAATGTAGAAGCTGTTAATTTTTATAAGCATTTCCAAATAGGAACTACCATCAGGTCCTCGATCAGATGTTTACTTGAACATGTAACAGTTTCATATTCCTATATAACTCCATCTGATGTTTGCATTTCTCAGCATTTCTCAGCCAAGTGAGTTGTGGTGCCCAGTGGCTCTTAATTTCCTCATCACCCTTCGAAATCGGCTGAGCAATAAAAACTCATAGAGGGAGGCCTGGGTGGCTCAGACAGTTAAGTGTCTGCCTTCAGGTCAGGTCATGATCCTAGGTTCTGGGATCAAGTCCTACATTGGGCTCCTTGCTGAGTGGGGAGTCTGCTTCTCCTTCTGCCTGCTGCTCCCCCTGCTTGCGCTCATGCTCGCTCTCTCTCTCTCTCTCTCTCTCTCTCCGTTAAACAAATAAATCTTAAAAAAAAAAAACTCATAGATATGCTTGATCCAATACTTCTGCTTTGATATGACCATATCCACAAATGCAGGTTTAAAAAAAAAAAAAAAAGAAAAGAAAACACTTAACTTTATCAAGAACAAAACTTATTTTTCAGGTGAAGAGTATGTAAAGAGCCTAACTGCTAACCCGGAGCTCATAGATCGTCTTGCTTGTTTGTCTGAAGAAGGGGTAAGTTTGAATTGTTTTATTTTGTTTTTGAAACTTGAAAATATTAAATTGCCACTTTGGGATCTTGTTTATAGTTAATCTAATTTAAAAATTGGAATATTGGTAGGTAAGCTGGAATTGAATAGGACTTGGGTTATAAGCAACAAGAGTGGCTGTAATAGGCTTATCAAAATGCCATTCCTAAAAGACTTGACTAAAATAACACTGTTCACTCAGAGACCCTCAGCAGCCTGAGTTGGGTCTGCCACATGGTGGCACCATTTGTTTGATGACTGAATATAGGAATCTGTGGCTGGTTTGTGAATAAGGTGTAAGTATTTGACAAAAAAAGACACAGTGGGCATTGGAGATAGCATAAAGCTGAAGCATTAATGCTGAAGGAAGAAAGGAGGGAGTCGTAAAAGGTAGAGCAGGAAGGGTAGGGGCCAGCTAACAAAGATTTAGAATTTACTCTCTTGGTCAGTAATTTTTAATCTTATTCCAAAGGCATGCTATGAAGAGAAGGTAGCAGGTAGGATTCTGCGCTTCATACCTTATAACGGCACGCTATAAGAAATTAAGAGTGGATGAGGGTAGGCCTGGGAGGAATGAGGGAGAATGATGAGAAATGTTTATTTGAAAGACCATTTAATGTCAGTATGTGAGTTGATGCATTGTATCAAGGGCAAAGTTAGAGGCAGAAGGAGGAGTAAAGGGATCCATGCAGTAGTAGAGAAGAGAGGGCTTGCTAAGTGAGTCTGTAAACCTCGGGCATTCGCTTCCCTACATGTGAAATGTATTTAACAATATTGACTTCATAGCATTGTTATGAGGATCAAATGAAATAATGACAGTAGTATTAATAAAATTCTTACTCAGTGCCTTGCTTATACCTATAGTAAATGTATGGTATGTGTAAACGGCAGCTATCGTTATTATAGAAACAGGTTTTATGGGATAGAACATTAGAAACATATCCAGTCTTTACAATATTTTCTTCATCCCTGCTTATCTTCAATCAACTACAAAATTAAAAGGAAGTGAGAAAATAAGAGCTGGGCTTGACTTTCGGAATAGAGATTTAGGGACTGTTCTAACTAGTTGCCTCTGGTTGTTTTGATTTAATTCAGATGAAAAATTAAGTTTCTCAGTTGCATTATTCATCTTTCAAATGCTTAAGAGTTGCTTGTACCCAGTGGCTACCATATTGGAGACCATAAAAACAATATTCCCATGACCACAAAGTTGTTTTGGGTAGCGCTGGTTTAGAAGAGAAGAGAAGAAATCTAACGCTGGTAATATATAAT